CTTCAGCCGTAGATGCCGCTGCCTTAAAGGGGAAGTATACCCTAAAATCAAATTTTCACCAGTTGTAGTCTTCTGGGTGCTGAGTCGAATGGTCTTGGTCCGAGGAAGCTGCGACGCTCCCTTCCTGCTTGAATCCCAATCGAACTCGCGCACTTCCACCGAAACTGGGTGACTGCGCCCTACTAGATGGGGATTTGTATGCAAAATGTCACTAAAAGCGCCATTTCGTTCTTATAAAAGCACGGATGACCGCGATTGGCCCATATGTTGTAGTCTTTTGGACGCTGAGTCGACTGGTTTTGGTCCGAAAAGGCTGCGATGCAGCGTTCCTCCTTTATTCCCAATCGAACATGGTTGAACAAGCGGTCACGTGCTCCTGCGTACACCAGTCAGCTGGTCACCGTGCCTGCAGGGTACAACTTACTAGCCTGTTTGACCTTTTTTGGGTGCAGTCCTGTCACTCGAGTTGAACTTGCTTGGTGTGAGAGAGCGGTCACGTGCTCCTGCGTACACCAGTCAGCTGGTCACCGTGCCTGCAGGGTACAACTTACTAGCCTGTTTGACCTTTTTTGGGTGCAGTCCTGTCACTCGAGTTGAACTTGCTTGGTGTGAAAGTTGTCGCCTGCTGGCGCGGTGACCAGGTGATTTGGGTACCCAGGAGCACTTGACCGCTTGTTCAACCATGTTCGATTGGGAATAAAGGAGGAACGCTGCATCGCAACCTTTTCGGACCAAAACCAGTCGACTCAGCGTCCAAAAGACTACAACATATGGGCCAATCGCGGTCATCCGTGCTTTTATAAGAACGAAATGGCGCTTTTAGTGACATTTTGCATACAAATCCCCATCTAGTAGGGCGCAGTCACCCAGTTTCGGTGGAAGTGCGCGAGTTCGATTGGGATTCAAGCAGGAAGGGAGCGTCTCAGCTTCCTCGGACCAAGACCATTCGACTCAGCACCCAGAAGACTACAACTGGTGAAAATTTGATTTTAGGGTATACTTCCCCTTTAATATCAGTCGTCACCGTCTCCGTTTGTTTCCGTTTTATGTTTACTGTGAATTCATAGGTCCTGTTGTGGTCTGCTGTAGATCTGTGCGGTCTGCCATTTGCTGCTTTGTATTGTGGATTCGTAGCGGTTGATACTGTTGTTGTTAGATGTGAAGCTGGTGGTGTTGTTTTTGTTTTGTTTTGGGGTTTTTTACTGCAAGGGCTATCTGCTCAGTGACAAAAAAACAGGGCTTGGGCAACTACTCGTACTTCATGCAAAGTCACTCAAATACCGGTAGTGACATCATCGAAAGACTTCTTTCTGCACAACGTGAGGGCAATGGGGTTGACGGTTCGGGGTTGATTGGTTCCTGATCACGATACAATTGGGAACTGCAATGTGCATGCAGGCTAGTTACAAACGCAACGGTAAAAAAAGCTTCATACGTTGTGAGTAAAATAAGTAAGTTATCGTGTCCGTTCCCGAAGGGAACTCACGACGGCCGCTAACACCCGGTTAACCCTAGCGGCAGATGCAGCGCCTAACGGTGGGGGCGAGTGGATAAGTCTCACAACCACTGGCACAAGTGCCGAGAAACCCCATTAGCTGCATGCACGTACCCCTTGCGCCTGGCCACAACTTTGCACAACTTGACTTTGGGTTGTGAGTGGCACAGGCAGCTGACTAGGGCGCCTGTCAATTGGGTTCAGAACACAAAGGATTGAAGTCCAGGTACCTGTACATGTACGTGGAACATAAACTGTCATGTGATTGTATGATGGAAGGGGCCGTGTCGCGCCGCGCCTGCCTAGTGGCATATGCCGCAAAAAGGGATTCATGCAAGTATTAGTTACACGACACACAATGTAGCAGCGAAAGAAATAAGGACTAAGGACGCAGGACGCGTATGAGGCGTGGGGTGGGAACGAGCACGTTATCAACTCGGAGCACGGGTGAAAAGGCCAAACATGGGAAATGCATACCAGTCAGCGAATGCAATAGAGAAAATTGATGACATCCCGAGGAGGTACACAGGCACGCGCACACACGCATGCACCAACACACACGTACATACATACATACATACATACATACATACATACGCACGAACACACGTACGCACATACACACGGACGCGCATACACACACATACACATGCACATTATACACATGCGCACGCGCGCACAGAAACACACATGTCCGCGCACGACCCTCCCCCCTCCCCAAACACACAGGCGCGCACACCTTGTATTCCCTCTACACGCACTGGCAACCAACCACATCTAGGTTGTAGTAGCCCGTGTTGTAAGCGTAAGGCGATCCAGCCTGGAACCTGATCTGCACTGGCTTGTACGCGCTCGGCACACACGCCAGGTTTCTCACTTTGCGTGGACTCTGGGTGAAAAGGAAGTACTCGTGTAGGGCGTGGTGAGTGCTGTTCACCACAGGGTAAGGTGGCAATCCCAGAGTACAGCCACCAGTGCAATAGGCCACTGGGAACGTTGCCGGGCCGTCGATGTTGTACCCGACGATGCCTTCCAGTAGTTGCCTCCCGACTGTGACCGAAGTACGCCGGCAGGGTCCGCTGGTGGCTCGTTTCTGACGGATATGTGTAGCTGACTCGCCACCTGGCTGGCTTGGCTCATGTTGACCCTGTTGCTCTGCGGCTACTGCCAGTTCAGGCTCGGTGTGGTCGCTGTTGACAGAGATGCTGTTTTGTGCTGCTGCGGCTTCGAGGCTAGCACCATAGGCCACACGGCTTACCACGGCGCACAATAGCAATGTGCTAAGTAGTTTGCGTGCACTCATCTTCACAGACTTCCTGCAGATAAGTTCAAAACAGAAAAGGGAAGTGCACGGCACAGCAAGTTACACCCTCAACGTCACTTCATCTCCTGCTACTGTTAAAACAACAAATTTTTAATTTTCGCTGGCGAATTATCAGTTTGGTTGGAAAACGCCTGAGATGTTTTCGTTCACCAAAAACAGAGAGACAGAGAGAGAGAGACAGAGAGAGAGACAGAGAGAGACAGAGAGAGACAGAGAGACAGAGAGAGAGACAGAGAGAGAGGACAGAGAGAGAGACAGAGAGGAGAGACAGAGAGAGACAGAGAGAGAGAGAGACACAGAGAGATAGACAGAGAGAGAGACAGAGAGAGAGAGACAGAGAGAGAGACAGAGAGAGAGACAGAGCGAGACAGACAGAGACGAGAGAGAGAGAGAGAGAGAGAGAGAGAGAGAGAGAGAGAGAGAGAGAGAGAGAAAAGAGAGAGAGAGGAGAGAGAGAGAGAGAGAGAGAGAGAGAGAGAGAGAGAGAGAGAGAGAGAGAGAGAGAGAGAGAGATGAGAGAGAGAGACACTACTTGTATTGCCGTTTGTTAGTCCATCACAAGTTCCTTTCCACATGTACACGATCATGTAGTATAGTAGGCAGAGATAGTGCTGTCCGGTCTGTCTTGCTTCGTTATCGCGTAACTTCCCCTCTTTCGCTTATCTCTGATAACATGAGCCTCCCAAGTTGGGTGGTCGTTTGTTTCGCGTTTCCGTGGTCCTTCGTCCTTCATCACCATCTTGTCATAGCTAACATTCTTAGTTCGCTGTGATGTTTAGCTTGTTTTCGTCTAGAGTGCGCTCACCTTCCCCTTTCTTACGTTACTTCATAACTTTAGAACATTCCAAGTTGGAAGGCTGCTGGTTTGCGCATTTCTAGACGTGATGCAGGGTAAGCATTAGGTCATTGAATGTCATGATCTCATCAGTCAGTTTTGAGCTAATTGTTGCACATTTTTGTCTCAACAGTATTCTGCTTATAACCGTAATGTTGGACAAAATGGATAACTTGTAAACGCTTGGTCCTCTGTTTGAAATTTATTTAATAAATACGTAAATACATACAAGTTGAAATCGCAGGCCAAAGTTTGTCATAGGGGCAAATGATGCATGATTATTAGCCATGGCTGAACGTGAGAGCAGCAAATACTGATCGTTTTCTTTTTTGAAAACTCCAATCGGGCACAGTTTAATGACAGTCAAAATGTTCGTTTCGAGACTGGCCAACGTTTCTCACCAGTCAAACTTGTTAATTTACAGTACTCCGAGGCTGTTCTCAGATAACGCCGGTGGAAACCTTTCGCACTTTACAACGAAGCGAGTTTGCCCAAATACACACATGCCAGCAGGCAGAGATCATAGAAGTGAAGGTATCAAGCCTCCTTCATCTAAGGAACGAAGAGCTCAAGTGAATCCTTTAATCCATAATAATATACATGTAACAAACTAATGCCATCATCAGTTGCCCGGTGCTCGTAGTAATACGTGAAACTCAGAGTTGCGGCACAGATTCCAATCTCTCTTGTGTGACAAACTACTGAGAATTCCATTCGCGTTCTCAACTTCATCGCCACTCATGTAATGCGAAAAGGGCTCCATTCAAGTTGTGTGCAATGCCCATTACATGCATTGGGTTTGGCTGGTGTTCAAATCAAAGCTGGAATTTAAAGCAGACCAGAAGATGAGGAAACCCAAATCAAAGGAACTGTACACTATCCAAAGGCCAGACTGAGTTGGACCTGTGGTGACTTTCTGAACTTGATCGATTTGTGCCCGCTACTGACGTTGGCTTTTCAGCTAGGTGCCAGGTTGGAAAGTGATATCCATTTTCTTGCTTGCAGGATACTGGCCTTCCCACAAATATGCCCTGGGACCTTTCATGAGATGTTGTTGGCACTCTCTTCTTCATTCGTGGCTGGCTCAGTTATAACCGTGTGATGGGGGCGGGGGTAGAACATTGTTGACTGTCTTTTGCGGGCGGGTAAGAGCATTTACCACTGCTTTGTGGAGAGCTTAACCAGTTGGTAGGGCGTGTTAGCACTTTAGCATGTTATAATAGCTGAGCCAGCACGAATGAGGAGGAGAGTGCCAACAACATCTCGTGAAAACTCCAGGGCATACAGATGAGCTATCTTCAGAGGATTGGAAGTACAGTTGTGCTCTGTAAATCCGACCCAGAGTGGATATCTAGCGCCCTCAACTTGCACGGCCCCTTGCGGTCCTGTTATAGTGGTACGAATGCGGCTGGACGCACACATGTGCAAGTAAGTGATGTACTCTGAAGTGGCTCGGGGCGCCAGTATTTGCACTTTGGGTCGGATTCAGTGAGCGCAACTGTAGCTACCAGTACCAGACATTCATTGCTGCATTGTTTACACTGTAGTGGAGGAGAACTCTGATATCTCAAACTCCACAAGAAATGTACTTAGTATCCAATGTACGTAGTATCCAATGTACTTAGTATCCAATGTACTTAGTATCCAATGTACTTCCCATCCTCTAAACTTAGTGCGATGCATGTGCATGTAATGTACATGCATTATTGTTAGAATACATACATGTACATGTACATGTATGTACACATGCTGTCTAACCAGCAACATTACTGTGTAAACACGTGACAAGGTTATCTATTATGTACATGTACATGTATACATGTATGATGTACTCCCAAGTTCGGTACATGTATAGACGAAATCTATGTCCGCACTAAGAAAGAAGAGAGATGTCTTATCAGAGTCCCATGTGAGCTGCACAGAGCTGCACCTATCGTGCATGAGCTTTGCAATGCACATGTATGATGTAGTGAAAAAAAGTGGTTCACATCATCCGCCACATGACCGCATGAGGCAGCCATGTTGGTTCCCACTCCATCCACTCAACCTCCGCATCTATGGGTCACGTGATGTCGGCCATGTTGGTTCCACCGTCCACATGGTCCACACGACATGATCACGGCACAAATTTGTGCATGACGAACATGTGAAACAACTCCATTGGTCCATAGGCATTGGCGGTTAATGCTCGAAAAGGTGGCAGATTCTGCTCGAAAAGCAGTGAAATTGCCAGAACCATACAAACCTTGTGCGGGCAATTCCTCGAATTCTGCTCCATTTCTTTATCCCCATACCAAACTTGCATGAAACGTACCAGAAAAAGTACCGAATTCTGCCCATTTTTCTGCCGGCAGAATCCGCATATGCCTAATATTGGACGGCAATATTGACTCAAGTTAGCTTATCCCAACGTGAACCATACGGTCAATATTCAGGCAAGTTCGCACGACGCTGAGCGGCACCTATTACATGTAGGTAACGTTACTAACTTCTTCCATTCTTCTACATAATCCTCAAAAGAAATAAAAAGTTGTGAAGAGTAAGGAGAGACCAGTCCGAGCAACAATGCTAACACAGTGAGTGTGTGTGTGTGTGTGTGTGTGTGTGTGTGTGTGTGTGTGTGTATGTGCGTGCGTGCGTGTGTTTGATATGCCGTCAGAGAGAGAGAGGGAGAGGTGGTGCTGAAAGGGTGTACGTGTAGTTCACATGCAGCTTTTTATTGTAGGGGAAACGAGTACACGATTCACATTGAAACTAGCTGAGAGACACGTATTTCGCAATGTTTAAAGAGAGAGAGAGAGAGAGAGAGAGAGAGAGAGAGAGAGAGAGAGAGAGAGAGAGAGAGAGAGAGAGAGAGAGAGAGAGAGAGAGAGAGAGAGAGAGAGAGAGAGAGAGAGAGAGAGAGAGAGAGAGAGAGAGAGAGAGAGAGAGAGAGAGAGAGAGAGAGAGAGAGAGAGAGAGAGAGAGAGAGAGAGAGAGAGAGAGGAGAGAGAGAGAGAGAGAGAGAGAGAGAGAGAGAGAGAGAGAGAGAGAGAGAGAGAGAGAGAGAGAGAAGAGAGAGAGAGAGAGAGAGAGAGAGAGAGAGAGAGAGAGAGAGAGATAGAGAGAGAGAGAGAGAGATAGAGAGAGAGAGAGAGAGAAGAGAGAGAGAGAGAGAGAGAGAGAGAGAGAGAGAGAGAGAGAGAGGGAGAGAGAGAGAGGGAGAGAGAGTGAGAGAGAGAGACACTACTTGTTATTGCCGTTTGTTAGTCCATCACAAGTTCCTTTCCACATGTACACAATCATGTAGTGTAGTACGCAGAGATAGTGCTGTCCGGTCTGTTATGCTTCGTTATCGCGTAACTTCCCCTCTTTCGCTTATCTCTGATAACATGAGCCTCCCAAGTTGGGTGGTCGTTGTTTCGCGTTTCCGTGGTCCTTCGTCCTTCATCACCATCTTGTCATAGCTAACATTCTTAGTTCGCTGTGATGTTTAGCTTGTTTTCGTCTAGAGTGCGCTCACCTTCCCCTTTCTTACGTTACTTCATACTTTAGAACATTCCAAGTTGGAAGGCTGCTGGTTTGCGCATTCTAGACGTGATGCAGGTAAGCATTAGGTCATTGAATGTCATGATCTCATCAGTCAGTTTTGAGCTAATTGTTGCACATTTTTGTCTCAACAGTATTCTGCTTATAACCGTTAGTGTTGGACAAAATGGATAACTTGTAAACGCTTGGTCCTCTGTTTGAAATTTATTTAATAAATACGTAAATACATACAAGTTGAAATCGCAGGCCAAAGTTTGTCATAGGGGCAAATGATGCATGATTAATTAGCCATGGCTGAACGTGAGAGCAGCAAATACTGATCGTTTTCTTTTTGAAAACTCCAATCGGGCACAGTTTAATGACAGTCAAAATGTTCGTTTCGAGACTGGCCAACGTTTCTCACCAGTCAAACTTGTTAATTACCAGTACTCCGAGGCTGTTCTCAGATATCGCCGGTGGAAACCTTTCGCACTTTACAACGAAGCGAGTTTGCCCAAATACACACATGCCAGCAGGCAGAGATCATAGAAGTGAAGGTATCAAGCCTCCTTCATCTAAGGAACGAAGAGCTCAAGTGAATCCTTTAATCCATAATAATATACATCTAACAAACTAATGCCATCATCA